TTCCTCATTCAGCAGATGCAAACTCTTATGCAACTCGGATGATATACACATGTGCCCAGAGTTGAGTCTCACTCAGGAGCTATGGCAAAATGAGATCTCAGAATCCCTGAAACAAATGCTCGAGCCACTGTTGAGCCGAACTTCGGCAGCGCAGCTCGCCTTTGCCTCCCTCCCTGGATAGTGTGAGACTTCTGGTATCAGGAGATTAGCATAGGAGGAGAGGGGGGAATGTTAGGTTATTCAAGGGCTGCTCCTCCCTCCTCTTCCTCTTCCTTTGCTGCCATTGGTTAAGGACAGTGCTCCACTGTTTGGCGTTGTTGTGAGCTGCGTCACTAAGCAGGAGGAGCAATCCTCAGGAGTTGGGGGGGTAGCTTCTGCACCCTCCCGTTGTTTGACTGCCGATTTTGATTAATTTGGATCTATTCCTAATATTATTTTATTTATTCTGTGATTAGTTTGAATTTAATTGTAATATCATTTGAATTCTTGTGGGTTTTTTTCTCTTCATATAATTGAATTGTTGTTTGGCCTTGATAGTAGGGAGAAGGGGTGGGGTTGCGACCGCGTGGATTTTCTAGTGGCATGGACTTTAAAACCTCAGAAGCATCTGATGGATGCTTTGTATGTTTTTGATCAATCCACCCTGTCCTCCTGCATCCATTTTTTTTGCTTCAGAAAGGGAGACTTTGCTTCACTAATTTAATGGAGAGACAATTTGTAAAAAAAATTCAGAAACTAAGTGGATCCCTTTCGTTATCTTGTTCTGTCACAGAAACAAGAAACCTAGTGCAAAAAAAAATGGATGATCTCCCTTGCCACAGAATCAACATGGGAGAGCACCAGCTGACACCGATTGTGACATGCCCCTGACGTGTCCCCAGGTCATTTCACTAGCCTGAGGCCCACAACACATTCTCTCCTTTACGCTGCCGCTGGTTGACCTCTGTCAACACCCTTTAATTAGAAAGGTTGAGGTCCCAGCTGAGTATAAAGTTGAACAACACAGGTTTATTGATTATAGTTTGCTTAAACAGGTTCTTCACAGACTTTAATGTATTCATTAGATTAGTAATAACTTGTTTCACTCTAAACTCCTTTAGCTCTTTATTAAGTTCCACACTCTTAACTCCTAACTTTGCCATACTCTCTAACTACCAGAGACTAACTTCTTCAGGCTCCATCTCTGACTCTCACCAACTGAACTCCCCAGACTCTGACCCACCCCTCCCTTCTAGATTCTCCTCACTCCACCTCCCAACAGCTCCCATTGGTGTATATAAATCACCTCATACATGAGCCAAAGCAGGGTGATCACCACAGCAATGTATGCTAAAACTTATGGTCTGCATGTATTGATGCCATGCCCTTCCAAACTGTCGGCCGTGCTTGACGACTGAGTCAACAGCATTCATTTCAGTCTGCAAAACTTCCCGCTCCATTATGCAGCATATCAGTTCACCTGAAATGTTTTCATTTTTATTTTTTTAGTTCTACAGACAATACCACACAGAAATAAATGTGATTACATAACCCAACGTTAAGTCTTATGTTCTTACATCCACTTTCACTCATATGAGAGTTCTGGAGAATCCAAGGAAAGGCCTATATATTATTGGAGATTTCCCTTACCGGGTGTCCATAACTTCCCGTAACTCTTAACTCACTTAAGGATTAGTTCCAAATCGCAATCGGAAATATCAATCCTGCCACATTCATCACTCAAAACGTGAGCTTCTAGATATGTCAAATTAGCCTACTGCTAGATTAGCTTTCCCTTTTTCTTAATCTTTTTTTTTAAAGTGGTATTTGGATCATAGAAAGTGTAGACACATGAATTACATAATCTACCATACTCAGTCCTGCTCCTGTTTTTTCTTCTTCTCCAGTACATACCTAGAAAATATAACCTCTTTTGTCTTCTAATGCTGAAAAGGTCAGATAGTGACCCTCTATAATCACCTTTACAACAGCTTCTTAAGTTGCTTCCTACAGAACTGCTTAGTCTCAAACTCAATTTACCTGGGGACTGCTGGAGGCAGAGTCTGGGTGAGGCTGGGCCTCATCAGATTCTCCACAAGAAAAGCTTTGTTAAAAAAATTCCAATTTTCTCAAATCTCTAAATTTTTTAACACAAAATAAGATGAAAAAAAAATAAACTAATAATTAATAAGAAAAGCAATCATTCAATCAGTAAATGATGATGATGATGATGATGATGATGATGATGATGATGATGATGATGATGATGATGATGATAAT